AGTATCAAGAGGCTTTTCCCAGAACAGTTTGTGATATTCAAGAAAGTTTAAATAATGAAAATCTGAGTCTCTGGTAGAAAGACCATTGTTACTCTTGCCTGACTATTGAGGCAGATGACCTGCTTGATTCAAGCCCACATAGTGAGCTTGAGACAGAACTGATATTTTGGAGTTCTTGACTCCCATCCTTTAGCTCATTTCTCTTAAAAAAAAAAAAAGTTATTTCCCAGTCTCTTTTGGCCTTTTTTTTGCCTGGTAGATGTCAAGTTTATTGCATCAGAGTCTGCATTTTGTAGAGCCTGAGTTAGTAATGAGCTGAGGAGGTGTCATATGCCAGCTTTGTGGCTTTACAGGCATGGAATTTCAGACAAAGGTATAGCAAATCAGGCACAACACACAAGCAGTTATTGCTGGCTGGCATACATTTCATTTCACTCTATGTGGCAATCTGTAAATTAGTTCATGGGTTGGATTATACAAAACGTATATATAACCACAAAGTTTCACTTATGTCAGCACACCTGTTCCCAGCTATACCCAGAATAAGACATGGAGCTGCAAACATCTCGGCAGCTGTGTCATTGTGGGTAGATGATAAATAAATACACTGTTGGGTGAATCTGAAGTCTGCACCTTTCCTTTCTGCCATTTCTCTTTGCTTGATGCTGCTATCGCCTTCTTTTTCTGCCTGTGCTATTTGAGTTCAACTCCATCACTGGAAGCAATGAGACAAGAAGCAGAGAGGCTGCTTGGCTCAGCAGGTGCCACAGTGGCCCCTTGTTGCTAGCAGCAACAATTACAGACTACTGTGTCAGCTCAGCTGGATATTTGAGGTCTCAGTGGGCTGCAAGAATGTGTAAGAAGGCTGCTAAACACGTGAATGCTGGCAGCCCTGGGAAAAGAAGGCCTCAAAGTGCCCAAAGAATATGCAAGTGTGATCTGTGCAGATCTGGGAGCTTGTGAATTTCTTAGGGTGATAAAATGTCCATCATCCTAAGCAGATGACCCAATTCACACAAACCAATGAGTTTTAAAACATGAAACAGACCTCCAGCCAGATTACCTGAAATATGTTTCCTTTATCAGCCATCCTTATCTTCTGACAGAGAAACAAGAACAAAACCAGAACAGACTACAAAAACTCCAAACTTTCCCACTTTCCCCCTTCTTCCCCAGATGCTTGGTAGCATACTAATCCTTCCATCAGCCATTTGGGACCGCAGCTGTTTTATTTTGTTTTGTTTTGTTTTTTTCTTAAGAGAGAAACCACCATACTTTCAAGTCTTCATGCTGTAGAAGAGGATGGGGAAGCTGCCCATCCATCCCCTCTCTTTTTGCAAGGGTCTTGCAGTTCCCAGCCATGTAGCTGACCTTCGTGTCCGTTTTAGGTATTGGTCACTTATTCTTTCCTGCTGCAGCTGTCCTTACATCTTCCAGGAAGCTGAGCTAGTCAGTTCAGCAAAAATTTCCAGGAACACAATACTTGGAAGCATGTATGACACCTTACTCAGTTTTAAAAAACAGATGACTTTAAACTGATTTTAAGTTTAGTGAAATATTTTGAAAGTAGTGCAGGAAATTCAAATCCGAAATTTAGGGAATTTTAACTTAGGGAAATTTAAATCCGAACACATTTCAGTATAGAAGTACTTAATCCACATGCCTCGATCGCTGTTATTTTTTCCTGAGTGAAACTTTGCAATTACTGTGTATTAACAATTGAGTATTTTACTGACTGTGATCTCACTCCGATGCAAAAGTGTTTCCACACTTGGAGTTCAGATTTATTTCTGCTTTCTCTGAAATGAAAGTAATTTTATCCTGAGATGTGATGGGAGATGTACTATTTTTCATACATGAAGAAATAAAATCCATGAGGAAAAGATGAAACTCAGGTAATTTTTAACTAAAATAGGACTAGTATTTCAAATGTTTATGATCATTTCAATAAATGAGATGGTTAGGGTCTGAGTAATCCATCCAGTTTGCTCAAGTATCACTGTAAAAATGCACAGATACAAAGAAAGATGCACAGAACAAAATCCAGAGTGGTAAATCAAATTTTGCATTTGAATGTTATACATCTGTGGTGTTCTAGATTTTGCATTTGGATTTGCATTGAATTCCCTTTGCAGGTTGACTAGAAAACATGGAAAATTGCAAGTATCCGTGCCAGCTGGTGCTAGGTACACACAGAAGATGATCTGAGCACTATTAAATGCTTCCAAAGTTAACTTATGCTCTAAGAATTGTTGTAGCAAAATTCTTAGTAAACTTTAGACCATCCCCAGCATAGCTTTGATATCTGCCATCATAGAAGAGAGAGCATACATGTCTTAAGAAGCATCATGTTCTTGAGGATGGCAAAGTATAGCTATTTAATATTCTGCTTGCCTCTCAGATGCTTAATTTGCCTCATATCTTAATGTTTCTGCTACGTAGTGCTTATGTAAGGGCAGAACTTGGTGCTGTTTTATAAATGTATGTAGAAAATAAGATGAAACAGAGGCTAGGCAGCTGGTTTCAACTTATATGTAAACATGGCATTCAAATGTTAATTGTATGTTCATTTTACAGACATGAAGATGTCAGTGGAATAAAACTCTTTATCATAAAATAATGGTGTCTGACACCTGATAAATGCCAAGAAGAAGCTACTTATTGAAAATGTATCAAAATCTTCTGTTGTTGTTCGTCAAAAACAAATATTGAGGCAAAATGGACATACTTATTTTTAGTGATTGACACTAGTCTGTAATTCTGACATTACAGATAAAAACCTGATGCAACAATGCTATAAAATTCAGCTCAAGAAAGACGGCACATGCAGTCGGGATTTGAGCAATGCTGTTGGGAAGTTATGGGGCCAGAACTGGCTCAACCATGTTTTGCTCTTATTTTTATTTCATCTGCCTCCAAATAATCAGTATTTTCAGGTTTGCTGTTGGTATTCTGTGACATATCCTGCTTGAGAGTTTTGAATGTGTGTGGTTGTTCTCCTCTCCCCCCGCAGATGGTAGGCCTTTAACTCTGGATGAAATATGGAAAAGCGTTCATGCATGCTACCAGGCTCGGCTGCTGGAGGGGCCCTGGGACACTATTACACAGCAGGTGAGAAGCCACTCGTCCTTTACGAAATTGATGAATGCAATATATGCTGGAATCCTCAATGGTCTTGTTTCCCTCCTGGACACAAATAAGATATATAAAAGTCCAACTGAGGCTGTTTTGAGCCTGTTACCAACAGTAGTTTTAAGCCTGGATTTTAAAGATGTTATCAGTGTTCACCCTCTAAGACTAAATGAGGCAGTCTCACTCATTTAAAATACTTTTCCTAAGCTAACCCTGAACATTTTTGATGATCTCTGAATAATCTTTGGTTTGGGTAAATATGGGTATAATAGTAGACTTGCCTAAGTAAATTATATTACTGTAACATTTCACAGACTGTCTATGAACCAAAAAGACTGTGTAATTTTCAATTTTAAATAGGCCTGCAATAATCTTTAGGATTGAAGGAAAAAAAATGTTTCTGTCAATCAAATAATTATTGCTGACTAATGTGCTTAAGAATCATTAGTTAATGAACACAAGAAAAAGCAGATGAGTAAACAGTTTGTGATATCACTACCTTCTTTTAGAGTGAATCAAATCACTTTTATTTAAAGTGGTTTTAAAGTCATCAGATTATTTCAGTAATTTATGTACTGTTCCCAGAGTTGTGATGAAGGTTGTCTTGAAAACAGTCGTATTTGCACATAGACAGAGTGGGGTATGGCTCAGAGCTGAGTTGGTTGCTCTGAGTTCCTCACTGAGCTCCAGGCCTCCAGTGCAACTTTGGACAAAGAACAGAGAGTCTCCAGGTCCGAGTTTTCCATTGTCAGATGGAGATAAGGATGTCTCCTTTCTTCCTACCCCTTCCTTCATCGGCTTCTTGATGTTTCTTAGCTGTTTTCAGGCACACAATAGCAGCTGGCACAACAGGGAAGTAATCTCAATTGAGGTCTATAGGTGTTTCCATAATTCAGCTACTACAATCTAATTACAGGGTGCCTATTTGTAAATGATACTCAATCATGGGAACACAAGCAGTGTTCATGTTTTTGCAGCCACAAACTATTATTTGTATGACAATAGCTTGTTGAGAACCTAATAGGCATTGGTGGTCTGATATTTCCTGAGCGTTTCTAAGCTTAACTGTGAGTTTGCAGATTCTCCTTAATACATACCTTTAAATACACTATTAATTATCAGACTTGCCTTCTGCAGAAGGAAGATGAGCAAATTAGATTTTAATAAAATAGTACCGTTTGGTAGCAGATAAATAACTTTCTCCACAAGAAGATATTGCAGTTTAAAATTTTATGATTTATAGCTGATATTGATGATTTATAGCTAAAACATGACTACTGCATAAAGAGAAAAAAATATTCAATTAACTTTGCCTTCATTACATCCACCTTCTTGCATTCCTAGTACAAAGAGAACCCGTGACCCTGCTATCAGATGCTAGGAATCCTTTAGGGCTAACATCTCTGGTATTTTTAGCTGAGCTGTTTTGGCTTGTGGATAGACTATACTCCCACCTGCAAAAAAGTATAGGAGAATCTGCTATGTGCGCTCCAGAAGCGTTGTGCCGTCTCTTTGCTCTCCGATGTTCTCCTGTGGCCTGAAGCCACATTCAGGCTCTCTCTCTTTCTGTCTGTCGGCTAAGCACTACAAGAACCTATGGCTTGGTGTAGGTAATAAATCATAATACAATACTACAGAGAATAAAGCATAAATAATATGTGTGGAATGTGTAAAATCAGAGTGATGGAAGCCAAAAGGAAAACCAGGTCACTCCCACCCAGAAATTATTTTTACCTCTTAAGGAGCAGTAAAATAAAACTATCATGCATCTAATAACTAAAGATGTGTACGAGATACGTACATCTAAAGGCTTGCAGAAACAAGTTTTATGAGTGGTAAAATGTGTGGTATGCTGAACCTGTTGTCTCTGTGGCACCTCTCCAGAGGCAGTTCAGCCCCTGTGAGTACAGTGGCAAATAGAAACTAAGATATTAGGAAAACATTTTGTAGAAATTAATGTAGTTGTAGCAGTAAAATACTGTTGAACATCACATTAAGGTAACTTTTAAGTAGGGAGATTACGGACTAAGTTAAACTGTTTCTCCCAGAATAATAGACTGTGCCTCAGGCTGATGGCATAACGTTGGAAATGCTGGCAGGTAGAAGCTAGAGAAGTTAAGATCCTCCAGTAATTCCGTTATATAATTTAGAATTATTTAACTTTATTTCTATGTTTTTCATGCTATCAACGGGTTTGTGTGTAGTTGTTGCTCCCTGAAGGCCATGTACCTGTGGCTTAAGGCCATTGAATTCCATCTACTTCAGTGAGGTTAGCCTCCTTTACATCAGTATTGAACTTGGTCCAAAGGCCCCAGCTGCATTCCTGGTTTGGAAATGTGCTTTCCCACATGGCTGCGAGAGAGAGCCTCCGGGAAAGCAGCTTTAAGAGGTCTACAGTTTTAATTTTAGACCAAAGCAGAAAGGCACCAGGCAGTGAGGGTGCATTTGCTCATGGTCATTCAGTCAAGTGATAAGACAAAGGCAGCGCATAGTTTGTGGAAGTGTACGTCTCTGGAGCTGAATCAGAGAGTGAGGAGAGCACCAGTACAATTAGCAGTGCCAATCGTATTTTCAGTGCCAGAAACCACTGGTATAACAAACCCTTTCCCTTGTAAATTGAGAGATACATATGCCAGATCAAATATAAAACAGCAGTAAAAATCAGAGTATTCTCAAAGGAATTAGAAAAGATAATAAAAACATACTGTACACAGTAGCCTACAAGGCTCAGATCAAAACAAGAGTTAGGGCTACAAGACTTTTTTTCCCCAAATGGATCAGAGTTCTAAAGTGAAATACCGAGTTTTCTCTTCCCCTTCTGCTTTTTGCTGACCCATTTTGTTATATGGGTTAGGCTTTGCCCCCAGGGACACAAACTGTGTAGTGGAAGTCACTGTGCAGACTTACCAAATCAGGCTTGAACTCTCAGTGCACATGAACAGCAGTCAGAGAAAGTTTAGGATACCCAAAATAGAGCACAACATTTAAATTCTACAAACAATTCACCGCACGGAAGAAAATTTGAGCAAGCCACGGTCAATGCATAATGTCAGTTCACTTTTAGGTAGGGCTGATTTTGTACTTTGATTCAATAGTTGGCAGACCAATTAGGAAAATAGTCATGTTGAGGTGCTTTTTTGTCCCACAGCTTCAATGTCCTGCTCTAATTCTTTGGGAACTTAGGTTTCTGTATTTCGTGAAATGTGGGTGCCCTGCTTTTGCACATTTGCGATACAGCTGTATTTTGGCCGCACCGTAAAACATGCCTGAGATCAGGAATTGAGACATTGCCTAAGCTCCAAAGAGTTTAGCATTAATTGCCAATATGATTTACAGTATTTAGGTAATATTTTAACTTTTTTGGTTACTTTTTATTATTGTGGAAAGTCATGCTCATTTTCAGGGGCAGTGTGTGCAAATATTCTTACTGACTAGATTATTTTTATTGCTATAAGCAGAAGTCAGCTAGTTACCTTTTCATAAATAAATTAATATGATAAGGTTGCATAGTATTTTATAATGATAGTTGATAAATGGTGATGATTTAATTGCACTTCCTCTAGTAATAATCTTAAAACGCTCAAATGAAGTTCCAGTGATTGGCTTTCTTCTGAGTTAAATCTCCCTAGAGTCTTCAGTCATCCCTTTTCTACATCCGGCGATAACTTGCTTTAGCTGTTTTAAATAATACAAATCAATTATAACACACAGCTGTTTAACAAAACTTCTAAATGTTGCTACAGGTCTCTGTGGGTATTTCCTGATGGCTTATAATGACATCAATTTAGCACACCTGGTAAGATCTGTGTGAGCTGGAAGTAGCTTAATTCTGCACTGACAGGAAAATTACGGAGTATTTATGGATTACTGTTGCTTTTCAGAACCGTTGCCAACTCTGATTTTAGCTTCTTTTACAAAGAGTTAGGAAGGGGGTTGAGATGTTGCATGCCTGTGTCCTAAATAGTTTACCTGGAACCTGGTGAGTGCTTTTGAGGATATCCTGGATTAGTTCTTTCTCTCTACCTATTTCAGAAGAGTGTCTCTTCCCCTTTTTGGATTAGTGGATGCTAGAAACGTGCTCTTTACAAGAAGCTTCTTTCCACGTCCTTGTTGTAACCTTTCTTGAATTGCAAACAGACAGAGCTTTCCTTGGTTGTCCCTCACTTGAATTCTCCCTTTCAGTTTACAGTAGACTGGAATGCCAGCCCCCACATCCAGTGTGGTAGTGCTCTGGATAACCTTTGGGCTTCTCTGGTTGTCAGCCCTCCTAGGGCACTGTTCTCTTGTTCCCTTTTTTTTTTTTTTTTTGCAAACTGTGTTGCTTTTTAAAAGTATTTATTGAGCCAGTTATGTATCTGCCTTAATAGTAAATAAGAAATCTGGATGTTTGGGAGAGGGGGGGAAAAAAAGATTCGTATGGCAAACTGAGAGAATTTGTAATAGAGTGAATATAAAAATAATATTAAGGATCCTGGAGAGATTTCAGTTACTAATGGAAAATAAAAAAAGTAGAACTCTCCAAAAACTCAGGCAAATGTATCCAGCCAAAAGAAAAATATGGTAAACGGGAAGAAAAGTCTAGAAAAGAAAAAGATGAAGTAGGTTCTTAGGGGAGTAGATGGCAGCAAGAGAGACATGTGTTTGATACTCTGATATTCAGCAGAGGAGTCCAGTGCAGTTTTAGGTAAATACATAGTGGCATTGTGTAACACAGCTCAAATACAATGATTCGTCTTTGTGTTAACTGAACAGCAGATCCACCACATTAAATTCTAGGTATGATATTACTAGAGACATAGTGAGTTGGCAACAGTCCAAAAGTGCCATGGTGAGCTGCTAAATGACAAGATGATTTAAAGGAGGGAAAAAAAAAATCTACAAGAATAAGAAAAAGGTTCAAAAACAGAAAGGACAGCAGAGAATACATTTGAAATGAAGGAGGAGAAATCTTATTGATTTTAAAGGCAAATATACTTTAC